TTTTAAAGCTGTGGAAAGCTTTCAAATGCCTTAAGTATAAAACATCTATGTTCTTCAATTAAACTTTTTGTTTAAAACTCAAACGCCACCAACAAGGCTGAGAAAGGGAGTGGAAATATCTCCACCTAGTGGCCTCCATGGGGTAGTTAATGAAACCAAAATTCAAAAGCCTGTTCTACAGAGGACCATCCACCTCACAGCGCAAACCTATAGGTTTATGGTGTAATGCAATTTAGTTAATGTTTACTTAAATATTAAATACCCAAGTAAAATAAGGTTATAATAGTGTGCATTCATAATTAAAGTGAAACAATAGGTGGAAATGCTATTTCTTTCTTGGGAGGCGGGTAGGTTGTTGAGGAAGGAGTTCAGAGCCTTTCGCACACTAAGCAAGCATGCTACAGTTGAGCAACAGCACAGCTGCTCTTTATGTTACTGGAAAATCCCGATGTAAGTTCTGCACTTACATCATAGCCATAGGTTGACAGAGAGGTGAAGGTTTGAGGTGGAGCAATTTCCTTGCTTTTCTTTCTTCTGCTTTGCATAATCTCTGGGACTACAGAACTGTGTTTTCTCACCAAGCTAGCTAGCTCCATGAGTGTACCACCTCACTACGTAGTTTCAAAATGATTGAATGAAATAAATGTGATGCTACAAGTTTAGGATAGCATAAAGGATAATATAAGAGGAAATCTCATCAAACAACATGGTATTAAATGTTTGTAGTGTGGCTGGGCTGTTTTAATTACTGAGTCAGCTTTGAAATTGAAGACTGAATTAGGGAGCAGGTGGGATGGCTCAGTGGGTAAAGGCACGTGTTGCCAAGCTTGAGTTCCATCCCTGGGATCCACACACATAGTGATAAGGAGAGAATCAATGCCCACAAACATCAGCTGACCTCCACATGTACACCCCCCCACAATCCCACCCCCACAAAAAAATGAATGTAAAAATTTGTTTTAAAAAACATGAGTTTATGGGGCCAGTGAGGTGGCTCAGTGAGGAGGGAGGTCTGCTGCAAGCCTGACAACCTGGGTTTAGATCCTGGAACCTACACGGTGAAGGGAGGTAGCCAAGTCCCAAATATTGTCCTCTGAACTTCACAGGTGTGCTTCGGGGCATGCACACTTGCACAACACATACTCAAGTAGGTAATGTAATTAGCCAAAAAAAGAATACATTTCGATATAAAAGCATTAGCCAGTTATGCAAAAATAGTAGTTAGAGAGCAAATTGTTTCTTGACTTCTTGGGAACATGAAGGGATTATGTCCTCATTGACAATCCAATGCATTGAAAAAATGAACACATGCATTGAAACAAGAAGTTAAAGGTGTGGGGGCACTGTTCACAATAGGGAGTGTTCAGCTGGGAGAACAGTTGCAGGAAATAATTTTCCAATTATGAGACTTGTACATAGTAATTACTGTATGTTTAGTTCTCTCATTGAATAAGGTCAACCTAATATTATTAGAATATTAGGCATGGTTTCTAAAAGGCTTTATTTTGGAAGGAAAAGACACATGAAAATGTAAAGAAGTTATCCCAAATAGCAAAGTCTGCAGAGCTGTTGGTACTGGCCTCTTGTACGTGCTTTTGTTTTGTTAACATTTGTAGTCTTTTGTTGAGATGGTGTGGTACTGGTCTTCACATCAACTCCTGACTTGAGTTTAATTGAAAATGCCATATCTTTCTTCTCTTTATAGAAAGCATCATCATTCACCAGTTGCGAATGAGCTCCCGATGAGATTGCCAAGCACAGCCCTCAGTCATCACTAAGGTCCTCAATGCTACTGATGTTGACTGGAAACACCTTATGACTTCCAGTGATGGTTTTTGTTTTTGTTTTTTTGAGGATACAATTTAACAGTTAAAAACCACATTGTGGATGATATGAACATATGTAGCAAAAGCTATTGAATCTTTGTGCCAAAGAAAGTTTTCTTCTCTTTGCAAAGCTTTCAGGTCTGTGGGCACATGCTGTATAATTTATTTTTATAAAAAATTTTGTAATGTGATTTTTTCCCTAAAATGTTTCTTTTCTCATAGTCGATGGCACATATATCTGTAGATTACACTGTCAGTTCTTCAAAGTATTGATATTGTGTATTCAAAAGGTTAACGTATCATTTTCTTTTTATTAGTTTGTTATTTTTAAGGAAAGCAAAGCACAACACTCTATTTCCCTGGGCAACTTTAAGAGGTAAAACCTAGAAACAGTAGATTCCTGGGGTTTTATTACTCATATGATGCTATGGTGGTTCATATGATAGTGGTTCAACACTGAAACTGGTTTGCTGACTTAGGAGTTTAAGTACTTAAAACCAATCTGGGTCTCCCACCAGTGTTCTGAATGGGAAACAAACAGCTTCGACTGGCAGTTCAATTTTATTTCCATCTGCATTATTTATGTGTAGACAACTTTATAGTGACTGTGATGTCAGGGAGTTTCCCACATATGACTCCCATCCTATGAAAACTTGCAAATAAAAACTGACCTAGAAAATGTCAACATTTTTTTTTAAATAGGGAGACCCAAATGTAGATAATTGTTTCCCTTTGATTTTGATTGCCTTTCATAACTGTGTAGGTCAGAGAAAAAGTTATCTACTTCTATTCTTCTGCTTGGTACAGGTTCTTGCTGTGTATGCCTAGCTGGACTAAAACTAGCTGTGTAGGCCAGGCTGGTCTTGAACTCAAGAGATCTGCCTGTCTGTGCCTCTCGTAAGTGTTGGGACTAAAGACATATGCCATCATGCCCAGCTAAGAATATTTTTAAAGAATTAAAAACCCAAACTGTATTACTTAAGTCTCAGTGTCAGAGCTGCTGTTGAATTTAGGTTTGTACCAAAGTGTGAAGTCTACTTGAACTCGTTTTAAAAAAATACTGTCAATGGGGGTGAGGCTATTTCCAATAATATCTGTAAAATAACTTTAAAGATAAATTAAGAGTTGACATTTGACTTTCTAAATGCAGAAGTCATTTGTCATGCTACTGCAGTGTGAATGAAGAACCAACATGTTAGGCTGAATGTTAGGACGTAAGTAAAATCACCAGAGTTAAATACTGTAGGCTCACCACTATAGTCCACAAGCTGTGCCCATGACAGCCATAGAGTGTCTGCAATAGGAAAAACAGTGCTAAATTTCCTCCCTCATGTAATCTAGAAGGCTTAAATGTAATCTGTGGAGCTGACAAATCATAGCCAATGCATACTGTAAATTAAATACCTACATTTTCTAAAAATTATTCTTGCTTTTTAAAAAGTAAATGTTAAGTTAGGTTTACCTGAGCTTGAATGACTGTGGGAGGTCTCCCATAGCCTTCTGTGGTTTTAATTACTGACACAGAAGCCTGGAGTATGTGTGTGTGAAGATTACTAAAAGTATTAAGTTTTGTTTTCTTAAAGTGTTAAAATGAAATGACATTTCCAATCATAAAAGTTTTTATTTAGTTTTTTTTTTGTGATAGGGTTTCTTCTGTGTAGCTCTGGCTATCCTGGAACTCATTCTGTAGACCATCCTGGCCTCAAACTCAGAGATCCACCTGCCTCTGCTTCTTGAGTACTAGTATTAAAGGTATGTGCTACCACTGTCCAGTTTATTTAGTATGTTTATATTGACAGGGAAGTAAAATTTTAGGTGGTACAGTTGCCTGAAGCTTAATTATTTGCTTTCAATTAAAATATTACTAAGTTGTATTTGGATCTGATGGGTTTCTTTCCCACCAGAGTTGTAAAGAATTTTGGTATTTGCAAAGACAGTGAAGATCATGTTGCAACCAGTCATCTGGGTAGATGATGAGATTTTTCTGTCTACCATACCATGAATATCCTTGGTTAAACATGAGTGACAGGTAAGTAAAATGAACACATTAAATTTGAAAAAACAAATGAGAATATTAACAAGATCACAATCACATTTTAGCAACCTTGTCTAGTTGTAAAAGTTACCTTCACAAGCACTAACTTGAATTACATCACATAACTTCAGTTTCTTGTACTGTAAATAAGTCTTCATCAATTCGAATGAGATTAATTTTTGATAGAATAATTTGGATATTTCCCAAAGTGTAATCAGTATTTCTAGTTCAAGGCACAACTGAACTAATCAATTTATTTTATGCTTGACTTATTTTTGTTTTATTTTGAAGACAGGGTCTCCCTATGTAGTCCTGTCGGCCTGGAACTTGCTATGTAGACCTCACAGAGATCCTGCCTCTGTTTCCTCAGTGCTGGGAATAAAGGTGTGCAATACAATGACCAGCCTTTATACTTGTTTTTTTGAGACAGGGTTTCACTATTTAGCCCAGGCTGTCCTCAAACACACTATGTAGCCAAGGATAGGCTTGAACTCATGATCCTTCTGCCTCAGTCACCTGAGTGTTAGGATTACAAGGGTAAGCCAGAATGCTGGCTATGCCTTTCCTCTTGATAACTATTTCTGTATATTTGGTTTGGTTCCTATGTTATCATATGCAGTTTTTCAAGAGTTCTTAACGTATTGAGCTTGATGAAGATAGAGGATAGCGTATATGCACAGGATGCTGGAATGTATATAAAATATGAATTTGAGTCTTAAGACAACCACTAAGATATCATGATGTGGGATATCTAGTTTAAGCACTAACAGCAACACAGGCACTACTGAAAGAATGTAGAGCTTGTAAAAGTCAAAGGCAAAGCAAGAGTAGGTGCTGTATTAAGCGTGTGATGTTTTTATCCAATGTCATGGTTGAACTTTTCTGGAAATACAGAAAAACCATAGTGGAAACCAAGTATGTTTGTGAATTGTTTCAGAAGTACAAAATGAAACTTAAACATCATAGTTGGTCCCTGAGGCTCACACCCTCTTACCTCTGCTGCTAAACCAATGCTGAAAAGACTAACTAGAAGGCAAAAAGGAAAAAGAAAAATAACCATAATAAACTTACAAAAATTAGTTTTCTGACCATTAGTATTTGTTTCTTAAATTTTCAGTATTTATTTCATAACTACATAGTAACCGTGTTGTTTATGGAAAATATAATAGTTTCACAAATTTTGGACAGGTAGGTTTATGATTGCCATGGTGTGATTCAGATATTTTCTGCTTTTTTTGTTGTTTTTAGCTCACATTATTTGGAGGAATTTCACCTTACCATTGAATATATTTTGTTACTTTGCCAGTGCAAATTTGAATTTTTAACCTAATTTTTAAAAATGTAAGGTATTTGTTTCTCCAATATAATAAATGTATAATGTGGTCAGTCAGTCTTAGAATTCTTCAAGTTTTAACAGTTTTCAAAAGCAAGAATATATTTTGGAAGACTTCTAGAAATACATTCTATTTTCCTATCATCCTTTAAGTACATACGTTAATTATTTCACACTGAAGTCACAGGATTTTATGTACTTGTCTTTTATATGAAAGTAATACCCTGTTTTCAGTTCTTCATAGGTGACTGAAATTACAATTAAGACATTCTCTGTTACTTTTAAAATCGAATACATTTATGGAAATCTCACCAGAGTATGAAAGATGACAATGAAATATGAAAGCATTGTGCAATATTCTTTTTATATAAGAATATTCATAAAATTAAAACAATTTTAAATAAATGTACAACTTTTTAACAATTTACTTATTTTTATGTGTATGTGCATGCATATGTGCCCAAGGTTTTTTTTTTTTTTTTTTTTTTTTTTTTTTTTTTTTTTTTTTGTGTGTGTGTGTGTGTGTGTGTGTATTCGTGTGGTGTGCATGCAGTAACCAAGGAGGCCAGAAGAGGGCATTGGGTTCCCTGGGTGGGACTGGAGTTATTGGTAGTCTTGAACCACCTGACATGTGTGCTGGGCACCAAACCTGGGTTCTCTGCAAGAGCAGCAAGTGCTCTTCTAACCAGAGCCATTTCTCCAGCTCTAGAACTTTCTTTTAGTCAAAATCATTTGCTTTAAAATAGCCATTTTAGCTCCACATTTCATTTAGTGTATTTCACTCCAGCTGTGTAGATGTAGCAGAGTAGGACTGTCAAAATGAAGGGTGCTCTTCCCAGTTACACTGTAGTTTTGATTCTTTAGTAAAATAAAAATTGTAAGATTTCTAAGACAGTGAACTTGCTAAGAGGGTCCTCTTGCTCTTTTCCCATCACTAAATGTAGTGTCATCAGTGTTCATGTACTATTCTACTTCTTTCCACAGTTACTCTAAAGGCAGAATCCTCAGTAGAGCATACACACCCAAGCTCTGCTGACAGGCATGCTGGGGCAATGGCAGTTTGGGAAATGGTTTGTGTAAAGAGGGATGGAGGTGAAGTGGGTTATTACTTAACCTCTTACCAGCTTGGTGCCAGAAATTGTGGCCCACAACCATAGCCAGTCATAACTTACCTTTGGCTTAGAATAAACAAATGAGTTTTTCTTGTTTATTAGTTAGAGATATACCTACCAAAGAAGCAAAGGGCCAGCAAGATCGAAAAGGATATTGCTGCCAAGCCTGACAGTCTGAGTTCAATCCCTGGGACCCAAACATGGTTAAATTTGTTCTCTGATCTCCAAATGTGCACTGTGGACAGGTGCTCACACACATACATAAACAAGATACACACACACACACACACTGTAAAAAGCTTTAAAAAAAAGCAGACAGGAAGGATATTTAAGCCAAAATGCTTCTTGCATACAAGTTGCAGATGCTAGTCTGTCGTCCTTACCAGGGGTGATCTTGTGCGATCAAGAGGATGGAGAAGCCCTGTGTGTACTGTGCTTTTAGAACACTGGCTGAAAAACTCATTATTAATTTGGATTTTACAAGAGAAAATGTCCCAGGGTCTAAACCACATTTAAATGAATTTGTTAACCTCAGGCTAATGACCATGTGGATGGAAAACAGAACAGCTCCTTCATCCCAGGCTTCTTTGGCAACAGGGTACATAGTCTACTTTGGAATTGAAAACTCAGCCAAGGCAACTTCTAGTTCCAGGTACAGTAACCTGATCTACTGGGAAAGAACAGAAACCTAGAAACTGGATTTCACAGTTGACTTGTTCTCCTCTTTTCTCTCTCTTTTTAAATGTGCATAGTGTTATGCCATGGGTTTCAGGTCGCCAGGCAACGGGAGTTACAGACAGTTGTGAGCTGCCATATGGGTGCTAGGAATTGAATGCAGGCCCTCTGGAAAAGCAGTCAGTGCTCTTAATCACTGAGCCAGCTCTCCAGCCCCCAAACCCTTCTCTTTAAAGTCAATCACTTATTCCTTGGTTTTCCTGGCAGTCACAGCATTTCTTTTGGAGTAATAATCTCTAAGCAGAATAAAACTTTTTTCTTCTCTTCAGGGCCCTATTTTTCAAAATCCCCCTTATACTGAATGGTGGGTCAGTTCCTTGCTTCTGTAATAAAAAGCCCACAAAGTCAACTGATAGGTCAGAGTTTACACTGGCTCAGTCTCAGAGGTCAGTTCATGGTGCATGACTCTGTTGCCACAGTACATCATGTGAGAGCCTGTTGTAGAAGAGGCCTAGTCCGGTCACAGTAGCCTGGAAGCAAACAGAAACATCCAGAAGGGAACAACATTTCTGTATCCCCCTTCAACTGCATGCTCTCCTGTTGTGGTTTGAACAAGAATGACCCCCATAGGCTCATATGTTTGAATGCTTGGTTCCCAGATGGTGGACTGTTAAGAAGGATTAAGAGGCGTGGTCTTGTTAGAGAAGGTGTGGCCTGAGAGGAGGTATGTCGCTGGTGGTGGGCTT